CTTCCTCTACTCTACTTTTCCTTACTAATAAGAAAGAAAAATGCTTTTAAATATGTGCATGACAAGAAAACAAAGTTCTGAAAAGAAACAGAAAAGGAAAAGAAACTCTTTGCCTGATTTTCTTTGCTCCTTTCTGGCTTTATCTCACAGTCACAATTATTAGTTGTATTGGCTTCTCTCCTGTTGCCATATTTTCAGATTCAGCACACTGATAATATATATATATATATATATATATATATATATATATATATATATATATTTTTTTTTTTTTTTTTCATTCAGAAGCCTGTAAATGATGAATATTACATATTTATCAGGTCAAACTATAAAGCGTTCTGAAATTTAAAAAATATTTCATGTTCACTAGCCTGTTCTAAAATTGGGAATATTGGCCTGGCCAGAATAGCGCAGTAGTTGAGTGTCATGTGAACTGTGAACCAGGAGGTCACCATTCAATTCCCAGGGTCAGAGCACATGCCTGGGTTGCAGGCTTGGTTCACAGTAAGGGTTCATGCAAGAGGCAGCCAATCAATGAATTTCTCTCATCATTGATGTTTCTATCCCTCTCTTCCTTTCCTCCCTCTGAAATAAATTTTAAAAATATATATTTAAAAAATAAAAATAAAATTTGGAATATTGAATCAACTAATGACTGGAAAAGAGGAACGGGTATGTGTCAGAAATTTACATAACACACTGGTTAATAGTTATTTTATTATAGAGACACAAAATGGAGAAATCTAGGAAATATAAAACCAACTTATTGCAAATTGTATCTAATTCAAAACAATGACTATTTCTCAAGAAACATTTGATCACTTTGGTTCACTTTTTGTAGTGTGGTAGTTTTCACATTTCTGGACACTAGCATGTGCTTGCCATCACCTGTAAACATGCACAAAAAGTTTTTTTCTGGTTGATTAGAAATGTGCACATCCATTGGTTTCATGCGGGTAACAGATGTCTGGAGGGTAACAGATGTCTTGGCTTTTACAGAGTAATTGACAAAAAGGGGGAAAGAGGATAATTAAAGGGATGGGAGGAGACACAGGGAAAGTGCAGTCTTCCTTGTGGAGGAAAATCCAATAGACCTCCTTATTCTTCTTCAATTTCATTTGTACCTCTTTCCATATGACTCAAGGAGAGTATAACGGGAAAATATACAATAAAGAAACATAGGGCTGGACTAGTCTGCTAGTAACAGGATTTATCCTGTCATGGAATATTCTAGTATAATTGACTCATTTAACAGCAGTTTAAAAAAAAATCACAACAACAAACAAACTATGAAAGCATAAGTCTAATCACTAATGGCAACCTATGTTTTTATTGGCCACACAAGGGTTCTATGTGGAGGATGGTTAGCATAGATATGGTTTAATTGTATACCCATGTTGTGAATTGGTGGGAAAGAAAAATTGCAAGACTGAGTGAGCTGTATGTTAGATATACATCTTAGGCTCTTGTAATTTGCTCTTTGTTCTACAGTACTGCCAATTGACCTGAAATAAATGAGAACATTTAGCATATGTTTGCTGCTGTTATCAACAAATTCTCAATTATGTCAGTGTATTCCATTGTGCAGCATTCAAGTAAGCTGTCATTTACTACCTCTTAACTATATAACCTGGGCCTGTTTTATTCTTCTGATTTATTCCTTTCACTTTAAATGAAGGTAATTTTATAGCCTGTTAGTCAGTGAGTATCCATGTTATTCCTTGATGAGAACTATTATGCAATTGTTTTCTAAGTAGCTAGTTTGCTTTGAAGAGAAAGTATCAGGTTAGGTACCTAGAAGCTTATACTTATTACAAAACTCAGATAACCTGAATGATAAGGTTCTTTGTGCTTGATGCAAAGCCCATGCTATTGATTTTTATTGGACTACCTGTCTCCTCAGAAAATAGGTAGATAGAATTGTTTTAAATATGTTAAATGTTTTAAAAGGTAATTGGGACAAAGCAGATCAAAATCTCAATTATTAAGTTGATTATTAATTTCCTTCTGCTGAATAGAATTACATTTTATTCACATTTATTAGGAACTGGTTAGATGGGGGAATGGTTTCTGTCCCCATTTTTAAAAAAATCAGCTTTAGTAAAATAGAAGCAATATTGCTTGAGTAGTCTAACGACCACATTAATTTAGTCACTTGATCTTTTTTGAGCCTCATTTCATTACCTATAAAATGGAGATAGTGACAGCTAACACCCACAGTTGCACTGGGAATTACACGCCGTGATAAACACATGAGAAACCAGCATATGTCTGGTTGTTGAGTGCTTTACGGTTGTGTTCACTCAGTGGGTCCATATTCCTTAATTGCCTTGGTTTCTAGGTTAGGCTTCTCCTGGAAATAGAAAATTCAAGGAAGCTCTGACGAGGTGTCTAGTAACAAATAGATTGAGATTGTATGTCAGGAGATTTATAATCTCAACTTCAGCCCCTAAAAATATGAGATTGAAGAATAAACAGAGTAGAGTTAGTTTCTTTAAAAAAATGTTCCTTATTTTGTATTTGTGAAAATCCATAAATTTTAAATTTATCAAGTCATAAAATGCCATATGAGACTTCAAGGTTTTTGGATCCACTGCCTCCTCTAGTTTATTTCTCATTTTTAGAGGAAGGCAGTGAGAGCCCATGAAATTAAACATCTTCTCCAAAGTCAATCAGCCTGTGAGTGACAGAGCTGGGACTGCAACCTTCATCTTTTCCTGACCTTTATCTGGACCATCACCAGACACCACCCTGCTCTGGGACTGTCTAGGTTCTAGCATGAACAAAGAAATGAATGAGAATATTGAACTCATTGAGCAGAGCAGAAAAAGATATATTTCCTTGTTATGCCTTTGTAATGGTCTGTGCACCTTAGTTAATTCAGCCATTCCTTTATGGATTACAAATATATTTTGATTATTTTCATAGAACAACTAGCTTCATCTCCTTCAGTAGGAAAAATACATATTCACTAATAATTACATAATATTTTCTATGTACAAGGCACTGTTCTAAGGATTTTACATAGGTAAACTAATTTATTCTTTGTAACAACACTAGAAAGAAGTATGTTTTTCTTTTCTTTCATATGAAGAAATGGAAGCACAGAGGGGCCAAGTAATGCCCAAGATTACAAAGCTAGTGTAACTAGAATTTGAAGGCCTTGAGGTTGGAATTGGAAGATGCTAGAGAGATTTCACTTTCAGAAGACACATGGGTGGATGGATCCTCATTCTATGAGCTCTCTGTTATGCAAAGAAAGTGACTTAAAACTCAAGTTACTTAGATTTTACATATCTAGTTCTACTGAATACCAACAATCTGATAAAATTCCACTGTAGCACACAAATATCAACAACAGAGTACATTTATCTTATTAAAAAAGTTAAAAGTATATCCACTTTATTCATGTCCTTTTCTCATCTGCCCTCTTCCCCTCACCATTTTAAAATTTAATTCTTTATTGTTGAAAGTATTACATAAGTCCCCTTCCCCCCCATTGACCCCCTCCAGCTCGCTCCTATCCAACAGAGTACATTTAAATTGATCACCATTGGAATAAATAGAAGAATGAGCCATTATGCTTGGTCCAAAGTTGTTAAAAAAAATAGTATTTTATTTTATGTTTGTATTTCTCTTAGCACATAGAAATAAAAATACTTATAGGGATGATATTCTACTAGTCAAGAAAAAACTATCCAAAGAAGATATAATTTCTATTAATCACTACGTAATTTTTTCTTTCTTACCCTCTTATATAGGAATATTATCTATATTCACTTTTATATTGGTAGTTTGAGTTGAGTGCAAGTTCAATACATTAATTACCATTTATGTATTGAATATTGTATAGGTATAAACTCAGCTCCAAATTGACCAATTAGTAATTTAAATGCTTTCATTTGAGTAAAAATGATTGCATTGTAAAAATTTGGATAGTCAGACAATTGTTGGGGGCAGTTATAATTTTTTAAAAAAGTTTATTAAAGTAAAAATACAAAAGGCTTATTCAGTATTATATTGTTTTAAAACAATGGGACTAATAAAATGTAAATAAATTGCTCACCACCACTACACTTTTTTGGCTGACAGATATTTTACATCAAAACACAAGTACTGCATCACTTGGACCATGTGAGTTAATGTGTGTGTGTGTGTGTGTGTGTGTGTGTGTGTGTCTTGCGCACACATGTGAGGTGGGGAATGTGGAATAAATCTGTGAAGCGAACAAATTAATTCAGCAAAATGTAGATTTTTTGAAAGTTTTATTGCATAGATATATGAAATTCTATAATTGATGTGTTTTGCTTTATTGAATAAATGTGTTCATTAAAGAAAATTGCCTGAAGGCTATAGTGCTTGTTCAAACGACTCATTCTAAGGTGTATTCTTTAGTGAAGAGGGGGAAGTATAATGGCTCATCAGTGCCTTAAAGTTCGCTAGGAGAATAACAATAATATTAAATGTTACAAAATATGCTTGTAGAGACTCACACTATTTTTTCTTTAGCTGTAAATATCGATGGTTAGATTTGTATTTAGCACATTCACTTAAAAAGGTTACAGAGGAAAGAGTAAGTGAACAGAATAAACTGTGCCGTTTGGTTACACAGCTGCTGCGATCACACTTGAATGTTCCACAAGTGATGCCAGACAGGCCCCTCGTGGTTGCTGTGTTACTGTATCCTCGTGTTTCAGAGGCGCTATTGATTTAGGGATGAGCTGATTAAGCTTAAGAAGAAGGGATTTAGACAGACCATGGATGAGAAAAATTGTTTTAAAATATAATAGCAATAAATTCCCAAGAATCCAAACAAAGTAAATGATGATTGTGCAACCCGTTTAAACAAAACACCTGACGGAGAGAGCGTTAATGTGTTCGGCACGTGATTATCTGGTGCTGTTTATTAAGACTGGGTTTCTACACTTAGGTTTGATGAAACGAATTTGCATGGTGTCTTTTGTATCCTAAAGCATTGTTGCTTGCCTTACACGTTTCAGGACTGAAGTGTGTTTGTCTTTTGTGTGACTCTTCAAACTTCACCTGCCAAACGGAAGGAGCATGCTGGGCTTCAGTGATGCTAACCAACGGAAAAGAGCAGGTGATAAAGTCCTGTGTCTCTCTCCCAGAATTAAATGCTCAAGTCTTCTGTCATAGTTCCAACAATGTTACCAAAACCGAATGCTGCTTCACAGATTTCTGCAATAACATAGCACTGCACCTTCCAACAGGTAAGGGGTTTGTTTATCTTTGTTCATTCCAAGTTTAATTTTACTCCTGGGAAATCACACACATAGTAGACATCAACCTCTTCTGTGTTTCTTTAAATAAAATCTGTTTTACAGTTCTTTCCTTTTTTTTTCTTCCTTTGTACTGGTAAAATTGTCTAACACTTAGGTGAGGTTGATTTTTTTTTTAATTGTGCAAGACTGTCAAAACATTGACAGCACATTATAATTTTGAAGAAATTTGTCTGTGTGAATTGCATTTTTGGAAGTGATGAATGGACCTAAAGTAAACGTAAATTTTTATGGATTATTTTAAAGGAAAGACATTTAAATATACATTAAGGAAAGAAGAAAGAAAAAAATAGAGAAAAATAAAATATTGTGGACTTCCAACTTTTATGGAGACAGAAGCTTTTATTATGGGTACTTTCTGTATAGCTTCTTTATGTGACCACACACATGTGAAAACATTCAGTAGCAGAAAGATATTATCACTCAGATACATTCCTGCCTTCCCCCAATGCCATGGTGTTTTATCCCAATTTACAAAATACTGAAAATCTTAATCTCATATTTTATCAGCAATATGGGATCTGAAACTTTGGGGGATATTAACTCAAACCAAAAAATAACTTATGACCTGAGGGTGTTATGTTAGTGAATCTTCTGTATTTATTAATACAGTAAGAAGTAAGTGCTTGTTATTGTGTTAATGTCTATATACAGATACATACTCTTCCTTATAAATTAACATCTTAAGATACTGTTATCTACTCTTAGGCATTTGTATATCACCATATCAATATTCCACTATAAAAATTAATTTTCTTAAATTTTTCTTAAAAAATCTACTTTAAAATTTTTATTTTCTTTATTGATTGAGGTATTGCATATGTGTCCTTATCTCCCCATTGCCTCCCCCCTCCCCCACATCCCTACTCATGCCCTCACACCCCCTGTTGTCTGTGTCCATTGGTTAGGCTTATATGCATGCATATAAGTCCTTTGGTTGACCTAAACCCCTTACCCCACCCTCCCCTACCTTCCCTCTGAAGTTTGCCGGTCTGATCAATGCTTTGCTATCTCTGGATCTGTTTTTGTTCATCAGTTTGTGTTATTCATTAGATTCCACAAATGAGTGAGATTATGTGATATTTATCTTTCTCTGACTGACTTATTTCACTCAGCATAATGCTCTCCAGTTCCATTCATGCTGTTGCAAATGGTAACAATTCCTTCTTTTTTATACCAGCATGGTATTCCATTGTGTAGATGAACCACAGTTTTCTAATCCCCTCATCTGCTGATGGGCACTTAGGCTGTTTCCAAATCTTAGCTATGGTGAATTGTGCTGCTATGAACATAGGGGTGCATATATTCTTTCTGACTGGTGTTTCTGATTTCTTGGGATGTATTCGTAGAAGTGCAATTACTGGGTCAAATGGGAGTTCCATTTTTAGTTTTTTGAGGAAACTCCATACTGTTCTTCACAGTGGCTGCTCCAGTCTGCATTCCCACCAGCAGTACATGAGGGTTCCATTTTCTCCACATCCTCACCAGCACTTGTCCTTTGTTGATTTGTTGATAGTCATTCTGAGATGGTACTGCATTTGTTGTTTTGATTTGCATCTCTCAGATGATTAGTGACTTTGAGCATGTTTTTATATGTCTCGGTTTTCCTTATTTCTTTTTTTGAAAAGTATCTATTTAGTACTTTTAACCTATTTTAAAAATAATTGGCTATCTTTTTTTATTATTATTATTACTGAATAACTTATTTAGTACCTTGGGATCACTACCACAAGTGTATTCAGAAACCATCTTCTTTAAAAAAACAATTTTATTATGGTATAATTTAGATATAAGGAAATATATTTTAAGTGGGTATTTTGATAAATTTGACACATATAAGGTGTCCCCAAAAATGTATACACTCTTTAACAGCTGATTGCTCAATTTTGAAAATGAAATGTATTATAGTAAACACATACTCTGTATGTGAATGGTTTTTAACATCTCAATTTCTAAGTGTTAATTGATAGTAAATTAAAATTAATTTTGTATATTCACCATATTTCCTACAAACTTGCCAAAATAACATATTATTTGTGGTAGATTTTTCAAGATTTTTGATGTTTTTACATATACAATCATCTGTGAATACAGGAAATTTTAATCTTTCACTCTGATCTGTATGCATTTTATTTCTATCTCTTGCCTTTTCACACTGGCTAACACTGCCAATTAGATGAATAGCAGTGATGAGAGTGAAGTTCCGTGCCTTTTTCCTGTCTGGGAGGAATGTCTTCATTTTTTTACCATTAAGTATGATGTTATTTAGTTCTTTTAATAGATGCTTGTCATCAAACTTTTAGTCTCACTTCAGGGGAAAGTGTCCTTATCATGAATAAATTTTAAACTTTTGCAAGTATTTTCATGAATTTATTGAGATTATCTCATGATTTTTCTATTTTAGTCTATTGATAACACGGATTATATTAATTGCTTTTTCAGCTATCATTCATAACAGGAAAGTTGTGTGTTGTCTATCCAGTAATTATTCCTATGTAATAATTTGTTGAATTCATCTTCTTTTTACTTAAACTAAGAATTTGCTTCTGATCACGGCATTGTGTGATAAATTGACAGGAAATTGAATAGCCCTGTATATGCAGTCATCTGGCGGCAGGTTGTTCTCTCTGGGAGGCAGCACTAAATGGTTATTAGCTGTATTGCAGCAGCAGCTGTTGGGAGAGGCATTGGGAATCTCCAGGCTGAGCGCCGACACAGCCGGTGCCAAGAACGCCACTGCTTCAATGTCATCAGTGAGTGTGATTGATATCCCCTGCTCTGCCTATCAGAGATTTATCACCTTTAAATGCGATCACGTATAGATGATATAAGCATTCTGAAAAATTAGATCGTATGACATTTCTATGGTAATTAATACTCTGCATCACTTCCACGGGCCAAGAAAGCAAAGGTTGGGAGGTGATCAGAGGAAGTTGGAGAGAATCTGAGATCCCTTTGAGGAAAGCCGAGTGGATCCTTGCCTCTTTGGCTCATTCCTTCAGCACCCTGACCGTGGGGCCATTTCTGATAGCTGTCTTGATGTAGGGATGGTAACTCAGTCTTGTCATATTTCAGCTGGCCCTCTTGTTCCTTAGACCTTGTGTGTAATATTGGGCTCTTGCTTCATTTCTTTGTGACAAAGTTCCCACCTTGAATACAGCTTGTGACATTTTCCTCCTCACTCCTCTCCCTGCTGGTTCTCTAAGTACTTGGCAATTGGTAGGAACTCACACTTGCCCTCCTAAAAAGCCTCTTACGTGTCTGACTAATTCCTAAACCTTTGGACTGGTGACTTTCATACATGTTTCCATTGTGACACAAAGGCAGATGTAAATTTTACATAATTTCCCCCAACCCGCATTCACACACAACTGAAACAAGAATTTTATAACATATTCTTACCATTAAAATGTGGGAGATACTCTATGCTCTTTCATTAAGTAAAAATGTTGGTCAACTCCCACTAATAGGTTCTGTTTACACTGTTTTGTTGATATTTAAAATGCGGTGATTTTAAATGAAGCAAGGACATTTATTATTTTAATTTATTAGTAAAATACCTATTAAGAAGCAGATTAGTATTTTAATTTCACGTGTTTTTTCTTTTCTTTTAAAAGGCCTTTTTAAAAACCTCCTTACCCATTCACTTTTAATTCTAAATTGAATTAAATGTAAGTGTGATTAACTCAGATCTTTGTAAGCAGTACTTGCTTTAGATCATATTAAATTCAGTCACTTGCCCTTAAAACATACTTTGTTCTCTGGCATTGGATGTGGACTTAATTTTTATAAGTTAATAATTTTTTTGTAAAACTAATTCCATAGTTGGGTAGAAATAGTTCCTTCCCTGAAATTTATTGAAGTAGAAATGTTTTATGTCACTGGAGTGACTTTCCACGTTCAACTGTTATCACAAACTAGAGGGCCAGTGCATGAATTCATGCACGGGTGGGATTCCTTGTCTGGCCAGCAATCAGGGCTGATTGGGACTGTCTTGCCCAGTTTGGATCAGGACCAATTGGGGCAGATCTGGGCGGCTGGCCTGGGGGAAGGACAACAAGAGGTTGGCCAGCAGTAGGAGGTTGGCTGTGGGAGCACACTGACCACCAGGGGGAAGCTCTTGCATTGAGCGTCTGCTCCTGGTGGTCAGTGTGAGTCATAGAGACCAGAAGATCGATTAGGGTCAACTGGTTGTAATCATTGCTTAGGCTTTTATATACATAGAGGATTTTTTTTTCTATGTAAAACTTGAAAGAAAACAACCATTTCCAGAAACAGCGATTTATTTGACTAGTGCTTTAAGTTCATGTCCCTACAAATGGGAAATATGTTATTATTTTCACAAAAGAAATTAGAAAAATTAAAAATAGCCTATGCAAATCAGTTAAATAACAAAAGCATATATATTTTATGTAGTATACCCTATCTAATATCTTCTTCCTGTTTGTTTTTTAGACCAGGTAAGAAAAGCTATCTTCAATTACAGAACTATCTGTCCATCTTTCTGGGATGCTCCTCTTCTTGTTCTTTCTCCAGTGACCTTTGACCTAGTACTCTTAGACACCGTTAATATACAGTAACTCTGCAGATTGTCCACTCTTAGCTTTTTTTGAAATTAGAAGAGGAGCCACGTTGGTGGGAAAAATTCACCTCCAAAAAGTAAATGATGTATTCTGAACTATTTAAGAATATTTATGGCTTTTCCTTACTGGTGTGGCTAAATGGTTAGTGTGTTCCATTCATTGAAAGGTCTCAGGTTCAATTCTTGGTCAGGGCACATATCCAGGTTTTGGATTTGATCCCTGATCAGGACACATACAGGAGGGAACTGGTAAATGTTTTCTCTCTCTCTCTCTCTCTCTCTCTCTCTCTCTCTCTCTCTCTCTCCAAATTCAATGAAAACAAAACATCCTCAGGTGAAAAAAAAAAAA